TCCAAAAGACTCATGATAGCAAATGCTGTCCACATCCAGAGACAGAGCTATGGAGTCTGAATGCAGATGGAAGCAGACTATTTGCTCTCCTTTTCATTTGTTGTTTTGATTGCTTCATTCTCATGGTTCCTCCCATTAGCTCTAATTGTTCTTTACATCATGACTAATGGGAAAATGTGCTTAAGAGTACTGTAAGAGTATGTATAAATATGTATAAGTAGAGCCTATATCAGATTGCACACCATCTTGGGGAGGGGTAAGAGGGAGAGGGAGAAAATTAAAAACTTAAAATCTTATGGAAGTGAATGTTGAAAACTAAAAATAAATAAATTAATTGTTTAAAAATGGGTATGTTCAAAGTGGTATAGCTGTTGATACTGATATAAACTATCACCCTTTCCCAAGAAAATTTAACCAATGAAAATCACTTGCCATCATGGAGACCAAAATTGCTTCATTCAGCAAACCTCTGATGTCTTTGCCAAGTGGAGACATATGACAAACATGGGCAACTCTAGTTTAGAATCACTCATTTGTAAAATATTGCATAGGAAGGCAGAAGATTATTAGCCATATCGCCTCACAAAACACCAAGAAGTAATGGACAGAAAAACAGCTGAACAACAACTTGAGAGATTCAACTAAAGTATATCAACCCAAGCACATTTAAAAATAAAGCTAAGAAGACAACAAGCAAAAAATAGAAAATAGACATAAAGATGTATATAACAAACTTTTCACCATCAATGATAGATGAGCAGCCACATTTGGACTCTAACATCACAGTGCCCAACGTAAGTAGACATGACACTAAAGAAAACAAAGACGAGAAAACCAGTTGGACCAGACCAAGCACAGACACATGAAGTATAAACATCAGGAAACACAATTTTGAAGTTGTTAAGGAATTGATTCAAGATATCTGAAAGTGGATAGGATACCAAACATTCGGAAAAAATCACAGATGTTATTACTACTGAAAAAAGAAACTAAGAAAATATTAACTAGCAGCCCATATGCCTACATTTCCATTCATACAAAATTTTAATGAGAATATTCTACGTGCTTATCAATGGCATCCTTGATGAACATACAAGAAGGTTCTAGCCAGGCTTTCAAAAATGGTATTCCACACATCATTACAGTCACATAATTAACAGAAAGGTATGAAGAACACAGGATTCACTCTGCTTTTTGTTTCTTGTCTAGATCAGAGGTTGGCAAACTATGGAACAAAGACCCCAACCTGTTTGTCCAGTCTACACGCCTTTAGACTCTTATTTTTTTACTCCTGAACTATATTCTTCAGCCTCTTATTTTTTTTCAGTTCTTCCTTTTTGCCCATCTTTGTACTGAAGTCCCTGGGTTTTTTTACATTTTAATAAAATAAATCATTCTTAGCCCTAGTCCTACAAAAACAGGCCATGGACAGGATTTGCCCCATGTAGAATTTGCAAGTTCTGGTCTAGACTACGATCTACAGTTTGACGAACCAATCATAGAGCTGGTCCACTGGTGTGTATGTTTGCGTGTGTGTGTGTGATATATACATACACACACACACACACACACACACACACACACATATATATATATATATCCGATAGACATTGCACATGAACAATCAATTGGGACCAGAATTTAATAAAAAGTAGAGAAGGGGGTGGGCAGGATAGAATTTGGCAAATTGTATTGTGCTTTTAATAACTCCAAGCTTCTCCCTGAAACAAGTTCCATTTTAGTGAATTGTATGTCTATGAGTCATGGAACACCATAGTCTCTAAAGAACTAAAGTTGCAGGTCACCCAAAGGACACTGGAGAGGTATATGGTCTGTATGGACCTATTATACCTAGGACATATTACTAATGAAGAATTGTGTAGAATCCGCATAAAAGACATCATTAGAGTGATTCTGGACCAGAAAGGAAAGTTCGCTAGTAAATATCAAGAACAAGGGATGATCGAGAGTAGCTAGGTGGCACAGTGGATAGAGTTACGGCCTTGAAGTCAGGAGGACCCGAGTTCAAACATGGCCTCAGACACTTGACACTTACTAGCTCTGTGTCCCTGAGCAAGTCACTTAACCCCCGATTTCCTCACCAAAAAGAAGAAGAAAAAAACAAGGGATGATCAATGAACACAACTTCTATTGGTACCTAAATGATGTCAAGAGACCTAGAGGAAGGCCCTAAAATTCTGGGTAACCGTCCTCAGCAGGATTTATAGGATATGGTCTAACAGATAAAAAAGTGTGCACAGGAAGTGATCTGCACTCTCAGAAAGGCATACCCACAAAAGTGAGCTCACAAATCCATCAAAGTAACTGTCCTAGGCACTGGGGATAAGAAGGAAAAAAATTACATAGTCCCGGTTTCCAAGAAATTTACATTCTCTTGGGGTAGGAGATATAACATGAACACAAATAAAGTATATACAAGGTAGGAAAGAATAAGACAAAGGAAAGATCCAGACAATCAATCAACAAGGAAATGCCTACTATGTGCCAGGCAAGGTGTTAGATGCTGCATTTACAAATATAAAAATGAGATGGTCCCTCCCTACAAAAGACAAGTGTTCCAGGAAAAATTGGGCAGGAAGAGAATACTTTTAACCAGGACAGGATCAGGAGAGGCTTCATAGAGAAGCTGATACATAAACTGAGCCTTGAAGGAAAAAAGAGATTTCCATAGGCAGAGATGAGAAGACGTTATATTCCAGATATGGAGAAAGACATAAATGGACAAAGAGTTGTCAAGTCCCGTCAATTCTACTTCCACAATATGTCTGGCATTTATCCTTCTCTCTACTCACTGCCATTGTCCTAATAAAAGCCCTTATCACTTCTGGGATGTAGCAAGAATCTCTTTAACAAGTTCTCCCTGACTCTACTCTCTCCTCTTGCAAACTCATCCTATACAGCTTCACACAGACAAAACAATCTTCCTAAGAAACAAAGCTGACCAAGTTCTTCCCCAGCTCAACAGCTCTCAGTGACTTTATTCCCTCAGCCTGACTTTCAAGGTCCTTCACAATCTGGATCCAATCTACCTTTCCCTTCCTTACTTTCTATTCCCCTCTCTTCAGACACTCTAGTTCCAGCCAAACCTGAATATTAATTAGTTCTCTGATCCTGCCAGTTCTCTGGATTTTCAAGCATTTCTGAAGCCTGAAACACTCCCTCCTCATCTCCAGTGAAATCCTTTTTCTCCTTCAGAGTTTAGCTCAATTGCTAACTCTCCTATGAAGTCTTCCCTGACCCCCCAAGCAGGAAGGGAGCCTTGGCCTGGAATTTTCCTAAAGCACTTTGGATCTCTCCTTTGTCCCACTGCCTTTGTATCATGAGTGTATGTATAGGCTGCATCCAGCATTATCCCCTCCAGGGAAACTGAGAGCATGAACTGTTTCCTTATACTTATATGTATCCACAATAGGTAGCAAAGGACCTTTGTTAAATTGAATTTCAAGTTGGAGGCTGCTGTAAAAAATGATGAATATGAAATATGAAAATATAGATAAGTATGGGAAGACATATGAACTGATACAGAGTAAAACAAGCAGCACCAGAGAAACAAAGGGAATTTGATGATCAAGCTTGGCCCAAAAGAAGAAAGAAGAAAATCCACTGTTCTCCCTTATTTTCAGAAGTGGAGCACTTAGTGAGCCATTCTGGAAAGCAATACGGAGCTTTGCACCAAAAGCTCCTAACTCCTTAGACCCAGTGATACTACTTCTAGGCCTATAGCCCAAAGAAATTAAAGAAAGTCAAAGATTATATTACAAAAACATTTATAGTAGCCCTTTTGTGGTGACCAAAAACTGGAAACTAAGAGTGCCCATCAATGGGGGTAATATTTAAACAAATTGTGATATATGAATATTATTTTGCCATAAGAAATAATGGAAGGGATGGTTTCAAGAGAAACCTGGGAAGACTTGTGTGAAGTGATGCAGAGTTAAGTGAGCAGAACCAGGAGAACAACTGATAAAACACTGTAAGAACAAACAACTTTGAAAGACTTTAAAACCCAAAGACCAACTAGGATTCCAAAGGACCAGTTATGCTACCCACCTTCTAATAGAAATAAACTAAATATGTACAATGAGACATGCAATTTTAGACACTGCCATGTGGGAATTAGTTTTGCTGGATAATGTACATTTGTTTTTACAAGGGTGTGGCTTTTTTTTTCCTACATGAAGGAAGGGGAGCTATGTGGGCAAAAAAAAACCAACTGCTTGTTAACTGAAAATAGATAGAATTTAATTTTTAAAAAAAGAAGTGGAGGACTATAAGTGCAGAACATTGCATAGATGGTCAGACTGGGTTGATGTATTGATTGGTTTTGCTGAACTTTTTTTTCCTCTTTTTTCTTTGTTACAATGGCTCTCCAGGGACAGGAAGAATAAAGAATATATTTTTAAATGAAGGTGATGTATGTAAAAACAAAAGATGTTACTAGAAATAAAAGAGAGGTCAGCCTGTGAGTAACCACAGCTCTGTACCTTTGAGATCCTTAGTAAAAAAAAATAAAAAGTCAAAGGTTTCTTTCGTATAAATACTATCACCACCAATGTGGTTTCTTAGTTGCTGAGGATGAAGAAACTTATCACTTAGTAATCATAATCAGCCTCTCTAAATTTGATTAGACTGGTCCTTAGACAACAGATCCGCGGTCTCTGCCCAGATCCACAGCTCGAATCTTTTTCAGCTTAATGGGACCTGCCAGAACTTGGCCTCCCTGGCCATAACCTCCCAGAAACCAGGGTCCCCTCTTCTTCATGACGACGATTCTGGGTAAATTCATTCATTCAACACATCACCTACAAATAAGAATAAAACAAAACAAAAACACAAAAAGCAAAATAAGTGCTACAGAAACGCTCGTCAGCAATGTGAGCAGGAGAAGCATTATCTTCACTACTCTCATTTCCTTCAGATAAGTCCCATAGGGATACTGCACAAGAGAGAATTGGGTTTCCTTTCTCCTGCTGCACTTTTTGCCAGAGCTCAGCGAGCCTAGAAGGAGCCAGTTGTTCGCGGCTTTTATAGCCTCTAATTATTCATTTTCACACCTGCAAGGCGGAAACTGTCTTTTCTTTGCAGAAGGTGAAACTCAGCAAAAGCCGGATGGAGAAACCGGCAATCTCTGGGAGCGGGTGTGGAATGAGAAAGCCAACTCAGCCCACGGAAAGGGAGCCACTCGCAGGATTTTTTGTTAGTTTTTAAGGCAAATACGATCTTCGAAAGGGAGTCAGTGAACCATAAAGGAGGGTAAGTTTCTCCGCAAACATAAATTCAAAGTGCACTATACTTAAAGCGATAATGAGCTGGAGTGGCCGCCTTTCCGCCGGCCACTTCGCTTCGGATGGGCAAAGTCACAAGTGGCCACGGTTCCGGACAGGCGGCCAGCAGCTCCCAGCAGCCCAGACGTAAATGTGCTGGTCAGTCGGCCGGCCAGGGCCATCGGGGTGAGCAGCGCATTCCAACGGCCGCCCCCCTCCCTTCTTCCCCCCCCCTCCTTTTCCGCCGCCCGCCCCCAGTTCCCGTGCAGGCACAGCTCAGCTTCTCTGACAGCTGCGGCCGGCCGAGAGGTTTCCAGCCGCCGCAGCCGCCGGGGCTGCTCGCGTCGCTCCCATTTCTCCTTCCCCCTACAGTTGCACGGACTCAGATGTGGAGCGCGGTTGGGGGAGGGGGGAGGCGAAGGCAGCTGCGGACGCCGGGAGAAGGACCCGACTGGTCCTGCAAGAGCTTTCTCAACCTCCCCCTGCCCCTCTAGCTTTCCCTTTCTACCAAGCCCTTTCCCCACCGAGCCCCGTCACATGGCAGCAGCAGCCCGGCCGCCTTGTGTGCCGCGCTGCGGAGGGAGGGGGCTGAGTTGGCTGGCGGTGGGTGATGAAACCTCTGAAGTGGATTACCGCAGAGGGAAAGGGAGGGAGGGAAGGAGGAGGAGGAGGAGGAGGAGGACAGGGCTGGGCCAGGGGGTGGGGGCTGGGGGACCCCGGCCTCACCTGCTGCGGCCCGTTCTCCAGCCGGCTCCGGGCAGCCGGGAGCAGGAGTGGCGCTGGGGTTGGGGGAGGGGAGGGAACTCTTGCGCCTACGGAAAGCCGAGGTTAATTGTGGAGCTATCCCCGGAGGGAGTCAGTTTTGGGGCTTAGGTCTTGGGCCCATCCCAAAACCTGAGGCTAAGTCTCCATCAAACTCAGCCAGGCGGGTTTTGTCCCACACCCCCGAGCAGCGAATACGTGTGCGCACACACGTACACACACACATATACATATACATATACACACAGACACACACACACACACCCAAAGAGACACATTCCCAGCTACTAACTTTTCATCACGATCCCGCAGCTGGAGCACAATACAGCGGAAATCGCTTTGGGGTCTCTGTTAGGGAGGGGTGGCGGGGGGCTGGGAGGGGAGTGGAGAGGAGACAATCGCCAGGACTGCAGACCAATGCCTTTTCCCCACCTCAAGACTGGAAAGGGCTGCCCCAAGAATGGGGTCCAGTAAGTGCAATAGCAGTGTTTCTGGACGTTCTGGGCGCCTTATCAGGCGCGTATTTGTAAGAAGATTCAAGTGGTCATTGGACTCTGGGTCCGCCCTCGAGGAAGGCCTGGGCTACCAAGCTCCTCTTGACTGCTTCGGCTGCCCTCATTTCCACACTGGGAGCGTGCAAAAAGAAAGTGGCGGGGGGAGAGGGAGGGGGAGGGGGAGGCGCAGAGACAGCTTTCCACCTGGCTCCCGCGTCCAAGCCCAGACTGCGGCCTGGGTGCAAGAAAAGAACTCACGTGGTACCCCCCCCGGGTCTGGCACAGTCCGTGTCCGGTCAGGACGGTTTCCCGCCCAAAGCTATGCAATTAGTAAAACCGGAGGGGGAGGGGGGTGCTTAAACAGAATAATATTTCTAGTTCCTCTGCCCCTGGAACATTCTCTTCATACCCCCCCCACTACTATCACCCCCACCCCCAAGTCAAACTGACAGAGACCAGAATTAGAGTGCTCTGGGCTGCGCTGTTTCACCGGAAACCCGGCTGAAATTTGCCCTAGGTTATGCAGGAGGTTTTATGAATTGATTGATGACTGGAATCGGGGAAACTTTCCCAAAGGTACAGACCAGTACCCTCCTCTCCCTAATAGGCTATAGATGTAAAAAAAGACCTTTGAAAAATAGACGGTCTAGCCTAAAGCCTTCCTTTCACAGATAAGGAAACTGAGGCCCAGATAGGTGAAGGGGCTTGCCCAAGGTCACGCAGGTGATAAAAGGCAAAGCTACCATGCTAACGCAGGTCCTTCTACTACAAATTCAGCACTGAGCTACACCGGGCTGCCTCTCCTCTCCTCGGATCAGTAGCACTGAATCCCAGAAAGGACTGGAGCTGTCTCCTGGCTCCCGTTCCTGCTTCTAGGCCCTAACGCCCGAGCCTCAGGTAAATTCGAAACAGCTGTGATTTTTTTTTTCCTATTAGCAACGTATATGAGCATATGTAGATGGGTAAGGATATGTGTATAGATGTGAACGCTTGCAGCATCCAGGTCTGCAAGTTCTTCCCTAATATTAGCTTCCCTTAGCGTGTAGTAGTTAGGCACAAGCTCCGCCCCCTGACCATATAGTCAAACGGGGATGGGGCTGGGATTGGTCGGGGCTCGGGGGTAACACCTGCTCGACTCCTTCATTCAAGTGACACCAGAGCTTCCAGGGATATTTGAAGCACCATCCTTTCCATTCCTGGGCACTTCCACAGCGCTGGCAACGGCACGGGTCACATGCTCCCCGAAGAGAGGTTACCGAGCTCCCTTCCCGAGCGCTCTGTGGAGTCAGAAAGGAGGAGGAGGAAAAAGGAGAAGAAGGAGGAAGAGTGGAAAGAGGAGGAGAATACTCCAAGGAAGAGGAAGAGAACACAAAGAGTAAAGGTTCTCAGAGCGGGAGCTTTGTAACTGCAACCATGTGTGTGGAGCGGCTCAGCCAATTAGTGACCCTGGCGTTTGTGCTGGCCAGCTTCGATCCCGTGCTGGGGACTGAAGCCACTAACCCACCCGAAGGGACGCAGGACAGAGCCTCTCCGCAGAAAGGGCGGCTCTCCCTGCAAAACACAGGTAGGTTCATTGGGGCTACGGTGACTAAAAAAAAAGCTGGGTTTTGCAGTCAGTGACCACCACCTTCAAAACCCCCACCCCTATAAATGCAATGGGTGCACAAGTCTTTCACTCTCACTCTCCCTTTCTCTCTGCCCCAAAGAGAACATGAGTTATCGGGCAACGGTCGGGCATGCAAACTCTCCCGGGCCACCTCCGGATCACCCGGCACGCTGCTCGCCGGCTCCCGACTTTTCAGCTGCAAAGAAATGCTTAAGCTCCAGTAGCCCTGAATCCTCACGTGTTGCCGTGGCAATGAGCTGCCTGGGTTGGGGTGGGCTGCTTGCTGCTGTTCTTTTATTTGAAAGCTTTAAGGAAGCGAACACAGTGCAGCAGCATCGCTTCCCCTCTTGGCTTCAGTTTCCTCGTTTGTTTGGGGGGGAAGGGCGGGGGGCGGGGGGGGGCGTTGGGGATGGGTCTCTGAGATTCTTTCTACCTCGCAGTCCGATGACCCTGGGCGGATGATCAGTGTGGAGGAGCGTGGCTCCCAATCTTAGACTGCAGACATCAGGCGTAAGCTGCGCTCTGGGAAGTTGGCTCGTGCCCCCACTTTGCTTAAACTCAGCCCAGCGCCTTGGCTTCCATCTGGAAAGATGCTGTGTGAGCGAGCAGCTAACTTAGTTCTCTCTCCTGAGCCGGGGACCTCGGGTTCTTACCGGCTTTTGGTTGAGACAGAGCTCAAAGAGTTGGGTATGGGGTGGGGGAAGCGGGATCGGATCCAAAACCCTCCGTTGCCTTCTTCTCTGGCGCAGAGCGGGGAGCGGAAAAAAAAAATGATGCAACTGGCCGGGAACTGGGCTGCTGCTGCCGCTGCGCCTCAAACCCTCGTGGGCGAGCTGCCTGGAAGAGCCCAAGCGTGCAATGCACGGGGCTGGACCTTTTCCCAGAGCGAAAGAAAAGCTTCCTGCAGCTTCTTCGCTCTTCCCACCCCCGGACGCCTTTTTTTTTTCCCCTTTAACCGTGTAAATGCTGCAGCGGCACTAGTTCAAACCCCGTGCGAGCTGGAATGCACGAGTGCCCATTAGGGCTGGCCACACGTGAAGCCCAGCAAGTGTGAAACATTCTCTGCACCCTGCGACTGCAGTGGGGGAGGGGAGTTTCTAGGGAAGGGGGAGGAGAGGGTCTTTACCACCCATATGCCAGCACAGGCTTCAGCTGAGTTTCCAGCTCCACGTCTCCCAATCCCAGATCTTATCCAAACCTTGACAAAGAGTCAGCCACCACCCCAACCACTAGTCCCTCTAGTGCTGCTTGTAAAGCTTTCTCAGAGAATAGCACAATATAGTTCCTAATATAGCATGAGAGGCAACCAAGTGTGGTGGGGAAAGTACTGCCTGGAGCCAGAGGGAGGGACTGGGTTCTTTCCTACTGTCTGTGTGACCTTGGACAAGCTCCTTAACCTCTCTGGAACTGTGAAATGAAAGGGATAGCCGGTTATCTCTAAGGTCTCTTCTAGCACTGACCTTCTAAGGTCACTTCCAGTTTTCCATCCTGTGTCCCCAGGTGCTGCCTAAGTTAATGGCTACCCTGGAGCTGGTTGTCACAGCTCCTCTGTGGGCCTGTCTTAATTTCATATTCATTCATCACCCGTCAAATGAAGTTAAGAGGGAACAGGGGTGGAGTGTCCCATAGAACCTAGAGCTGAAAGGGGCATTAGAGATAGTCTAATGCTCACATTTTACAGAATGAGGAAACTGTGGCATGGGGAGAGGGTAAATTACTTGCCCAAGGTCATACAGATAGGGCTTAGCAAGCCTAGCATTCAAACCCAGCTCCCCTGGCTCCAAATTCATTGCTCTTTCTACTACCTAATTTATACAGAGCATTTAAGCCTGTCTCTTCTTTCTTACTCCTTTCAGAAGAAAAGAAAATGTTGCCCTATGGGGAGGAGGAGGGGGAGAGAGGGAAAAAGAGACAGAGCCGGATCATACTGCTGGGGTTTGTGGAAAATCAAATGAAATCTTGTCGCATTCTCGAGTTCTAATTAAAGGAGCCTCTAACTGAGTAGATCATTCAGCTTCTGGGCATCATTCACTTAGTCCTGAAGGCTGCCCCTAAGTTGACTCTCTTCCTAAGCTCCTTGCAAACCACAGCTCCGCCAGCTTGGTATTTTTAATGCAGATGGTTTTCGAGGCACTGCCTTAATAGGAATTTTGTTTTAATTTTTAGGTGTTGAATCATAAAGCTGAATTGAAACTCCATTTGGCAGAGATCCTTTTCTGCCAGGCAGGAAATGGATGGGATTTAATAGGCAGCAGCTTCTACAGAACTAAATAGAGACAAATGTTTTATTTAACTGATACCACCAAAATGGTGAAGTATTGCAAATGTAAAAGGGAGGTAAGGAGGCTATTAAAAAAATTTTACTTGCCTGGTAGGCTTAATAAGCAGGGTTTAAAATAACATCTTCTCTAAAGCAAAATATTACCTCTAAGGGGTTCAGTGAAAATGATAGGATGAAATGGAATGGCAGGACACTGTCCTTTTTGGATACTATTTTTGTAATGTAGGTTTGGTCTGAATTCTGCAAATAACTGGGGTTTTGTTTTTTTGCTACATCCCAATGTCCTCTGCTCTGTGTGCCCTAAAACAGTCATTAGGAAATTTTGTTTCTGTTCATGTTTCTTTGGTCCCCCAGTCTAACTAGCTGTATGGATTTGTCTTGAAATCTTGATTTTAGCGGAAATCCAGCATTGTTTGGTAAATGCTGGCGACGTGGGATGTGGAGTATTTGAGTGCTTTGAAAACAACTCTTGTGAGATTCGAGGTTTGCATGATATTTGCATGACCTTCCTGCACAACGCTGGAAAATTTGATGCCCAGGTAACGAAAAATCTAATGGCATTGGACCTGGGATGTGAATAGGCTTTGTGAAATGCTCGTGGGAAAAGCATTTTTTAAAAAAATCTCCCCAGCCTTTTAAAAAAATCTAGTCTGTCAGATTTCATAAAACTTCAAAAGGAGAAGTTAATACTGATGTCCCCTCCCCTAGTGCTCAGTTGGGCTATTATGGGGGTCACAGAATTGACTCTATGTTAAACCCTTCTGGGCTCTTATGCTACGTCTGCGTAAGCAAAGGGAAATAAAGAGAGTTGAGCAATCATCTGGGAATCTGAGCAATGTAGACCAAGGTCAGGACAAAGAGTGCACACCCAAGAAGGCAGCAAAAGTCCTGAGACAGCACCCCAAGTTGCCATCCTTCACTGCTGCTCCCACACTAATGCAAACACATAGTTTAGGGCTGGGTTAGTCCAACACAGTATTTTAGAAGCTACTATAGGCTGATGTGGAAGGTTAGGTGAAGCTGAGAAGTCACAGAAACAATTCCCCTCTTAATAGCATCATAGGACTTTAGACTTGAGGGTAAAAAACCCAGAACATCGTCTAGTTCATCCCCATCTCATCCTCCAGATGAGCCAACTGAAGCAGGAGAAAGGGAAGGGACTTGACTAAGGATTGCCAGAGTCAGAATTGGACCCCAGATCTTCTAATTGCAAACACTGAGCTCTTTCCACCATTCTTCACTGCCCGCAGTGGGACAATCTGAATGGTTCCTGCCTTCCTCCGATCTCCACCCTCACCGAAGAATCACCATGATCCTTCAGCTCTCCACTTGAACTAGATCTAATCTAGGTGGAATACACTCCAGCTAGCTTCATGTTAAGCAGAATTAAAACAGCCTCACTACATCGGGCATGGCAGCCAAACAGCAAAAAATCTTTGGCTCTAACACTGACAATAAAAATATATTTTCAGAAAGCATATGACATTAGGCTCCTTTCCTTCATTTTCTCCTCAGCCCATTTTATACATGATTGAAGCATGCAGTTATTAAATCTTGTAAACCTACTCTCCTTTCACTGGGGAGAGATGAGAATATTTGGATGGGCCAGCTACTTTTGGCTTGACCTTGCAGTTTATACTGTAGTTTTAGAAAATACCCAGCCATCAGCTGGTCATTCTGTAGGCAATGCATACAAAGCAGTCTTGTCTCTCGTCTCCAATGTTTTCCCCTTGATTTTGGCATTGAGAAGTAACGATGGCATCACCTACCCTTCCTTAGAAGTAGGCAAAAGGAGACTGGCAGGCTAGAGGCTGAGGTAGTGGCTGGGAGATGCCAGAGGTGGCAGGGAGAGATGGCAGAAGAACAACAGTAGAAGAGATGTGCTCTGAAGCTCTGCTTCCCCATCCCTCCTCCCTGTGGACAAAGATCCGTTGGCATTCCCTGGAATTAGGAAACCTAGTAGAGCAGTTCTCTACTAAAATCCTGGTTTGATGCCTCACTGAGTATAGGGTTGGCCCCAGGCTCTAAAAGGCTCTGCCAATGAAGCTAACACTCTTGGCCGCCCCTACCAGGCTAGGAGGACTTTGCATGCAGACCTGGTGATGGACGTGTATCGGTCCTTATAGGAGCAACTTAGCAAAACTGAAGAGGTCCTTCACCAGTGGCTTAATTGCCAGATGATAAATTTTTTTTTCCCCAGGAAGTTCCCCAAACACCATGGCATGAAGGGATCATATGGAATTGGATCTAGAAGGGGTCTTTGAGCTCATTTAGTTACACTGTCTTCTTTTACAGAAACAAACCCAGAGAGGTGAAGCAAGCACCTTGTCCAATATCCAAGATCACAAAGCCAGTAATGGCAGACATAGGTAGACGTAGGTCTCAAACCCAAGTCTTTTGATCCCAAGTGGAATGTTCTTTCCACTAGACTAGCTTTCTCCAACGGATGGAGCAGCAGTATATATACTCAATTTTTATACTTCACAGATCCCTAAAACATTGAAATAATGGAGCAAAGGAACAAAAACAGAAGAGAGAGGCAGTTACCTGGAATATTTTTAAATTACTTATTTCAGAACTCATATACACACGTACACAATTCTCAGCATTAGAGATTTCAGTTTTCAGATATGCCTGTTACCGTGTGCAATGAGTGATCTTTTTTCCTGGAGGAGGGTGGGGAAAGGGAAAAGGAGAGCAAAGAGCTAAAGAGAAAGGAAAGGGAGCTACATGGCTTTTTTTTTTCTGTTGCAAAGAAAATATATTCAAATGTTACAATTGCTTCCAAGGAGAGCCAAAGAAATGTGCTGAATAGCCACTGAATTCCAGCCCTCACCTACTCCAGTGTGTCTCCTTATGTCTATCTAAAAACCATGAGGTAAAGTCATCTGCAACAGCTTAGTGCTATTGGAATGGAAAGTGTGAGGACTTGGGCATACTTTGATGCATAAGCCTGATCTGCCATTGGAGGTTGATAAAGGAGCTAAGTGCTCCAAGCTCCCTTCTGAAGCCCCTAACAGCTGTCTCCTTTCTAGGATAAGAGGAGACCAATAGGGCTGCCAGGAAAGAGAACTGCAGGCCAGATGTGTGCCTAGCTAGCTGGCTTGGCCACTCCAAGGCAGGGAGAGTGAGGAGGAGGGGGAGTGTCTATGTCATCTGGCTAGTTCAAATCTCCAGATGCTGCCAGGCAAGTGTCACAGGGACAACGATCCTAATAGCTTAAAGGAGTAAGGATCATTTTCCAATGAAAAGGAATTTTCCTCCGGAAGGTGTGGGAGGAAAGTTCATGGGGATTTAGGGAATCGGGATCCTAGGCATGAGGGATCATAGGATTTAGAGCCGGAAGAGACCTCAGAGGTCATCCAATTCAACCCCCTCATTTTACAGAGGAAGAATCTGAGACTCAGAAAGGGGAAATGGATTGTCCTTGGTCACAGAGGCAAGAAGGAGAAGAGGCCAGAAGTCAGACCTGGGCCCTCTGATGTCTTTCCACTCCAGCTGGCTTTCTAGCAGGAATGAGAAAAGCCAATGTTAATACCTCTCCCGGAGATTGCAAATAGAATCAGAAGGAAAAAAAAAAAGAGTAAGGCGATTCATTGCAGCTGACTGAGGAATCCATGTACAATCTGAGCACATGCAAAAGGAACCTTCCACTAGGGGGAAAAAAAACAGAGCATTGTTAACCCTGAGGGAGCATTGGGGTCGGGAAACAGCAGGTATAAACCCAACCAGTGATAATTCTGAGGAAAGCTACAGTTGCCTAAAGTCGGCTGGCTGTAACCGAGGCTTCCATCAGAGAGAGCATCTGCAATAGGTAGAAAGAAAAAAAAGAGACTTTAAGAAGGCAGAGAGAGCCTTGCTATTTCTCAAGGTCTAGCTGACCATACCTCCTGACTAATGAGTGACAACAACTCACTTTTTTTTTAACAGCACTTTGAGGTTTACAATGTGTTTTTTTTTCTCTCAACAACCCTAGGAGAACGATTGGGTTTTTTCGAGGTAATGGGGGTTAAGTGACTTTGCCCAGGGTCACACAGCTAGTAAGTGCCTGAGGCTGGATTTGAACTAGGGTCCTCCTGCCTACAGAGCCAATGCTGTGCCACCTAGCTGCCCCTAGAGAAAGAATCCAAAGCTCAGAGAGGTTTCAGTTGTTTGCCCAAGGTCACACAGCTAGTAATTGTCAAAACCAGAATGTGAGCCCAGATCTCCAAGATTCTTGATTCCAATTCAGTTACTTTTTCCACTATAATATTTCACTTATCAAGTTATTCTAAAGTGGAACTATTACTGCTGTCAGCCCTGAATTGGTCCAGGAAGAACGAACACAAAACATGAACATATTGAATCATAGGCTGTTAGAGCTGTGAGGGACTTAGAAACTGTCTAGTTCAACTGCTTTATTTATAGGGAAGGAAATAGAGGCTTGCCCAAGGTTATACAGCAGGAAGCAGTGGAGGAACACGGAAAGAATTCAGGCTTTGGAATCTAAGGAGCCAAGTTCAAATCTTGACTCTGTCACTGCTTATGTGACCTTGGCAAGTCACACACTCTCTCTGTGCATTAGTTTCCTCATCTGTAAAATGAGAGAGTTTGAGGCAGTGGCTCCTGGAGTCATCAGGGTCACTTCCAGCTCTTGTTCTGTGAGTGACAGATCGGGTACAAGAACCTCTATACCTTCCAATGTGCACTTTTTTCCCCTCTTTTCCTCCCGTCTTCCTTTGCTCAGGGTAAGTCCTTCATCAAAGACGCCCTGAAGTGCAAAGCCCACGGCCTGAGGCACAAGTTCAGCTGCATCAGCCGGAAGTGCCCCGCCATCAAGGAGATGGTGTTCCAGTTACAGCGGGAGTGCTACCTAAAACACAACCTCTGCTCTGCTGCCAAAGAGAACATGCAAGTGATGGTGGAGATGATTCATTTCAAAGACCTGCTAGTGCACGAGTGAGTTCTGGCTGCTTAGTCACAAGTCAGCGGCGAAAGGGATTTCCCCTGCTTTGGTCTGTTTGGGAATGATGTTGGGAGAATCCGGGGGGGCCCTCTTTTTGAATGATTACTTTTCCTGAAAAATGGAAAGGATTACAACTTTCTACCCAAAAGCCCCAGTGGCCCCTCTAGGCCTTCCCTTCCCTCCCATTGGCATTTGTGTTTGTGGTAAAAGGTGTCTGCCACCTTTTCAAAAATGGAGAAGCATCAGAGACAGGAAAGCTTTGCTAAAACAAATATTAGGGCAGTTCTTAAGGAGACCTTAGAAATATTTTTCACCTTGGTGTCACTTCAAGAAGAGAGCAGTTCTCTGGTTATTCTAATGAAGTCCTATAGGCCCCTGCTAGGTTAAATCAACAAAACATCTTTAACCCAGCCCCATCATAACATCAGAGGCTTCAGAGACTAAAGAGACCTTAGAGATAATTTAGGCCAAGCCCCCATCTTATGGAGGAGACAAGTGAGGCCCAGAGGAAAAATGACTTGTCCAAGGTCAAAGGCCCAATAGGAATTCAGGCCAAGTTCAACTTCCCTTTAGGTAAACTATTCCAACTTCTGTAAGACCGTAGTAGACTCTGAGAAGGTCAAAGACAACCATGTAGTATCTCGCCCAACAGTAAGACACCTTTATGAAATAAGGGGTATGAGCCTTATTATGTAACTGTCACCCTAAAAAAAGAAATGTGACTTGTCATAAGCCACACTAGAGAACTCATTCCCAAAGTCCCACACACGAGGTCACTCCTCCTTTATCCCCATTCACCCAGACTCTCCCAGAGAGAGTTACTGTGTTTTTTTTAACACATCAGAAACTAAGAGGGAAAATGTTTTTTAAATTCTGAAGTGCAATGAGATATTGGCATGTAATTATTCTGAAAAGTAAAGAGTGATCAATAGGTTCAGGAGGATGGAGGCCAACTGGGTCAAATAACAGCAGGCCTTTATGTCATAATTTAATTCAATTCAGTAAATACTTATTTAACCCCTAGTATGTTTTTGAAAAAAAAAACTGTATTAATAGATGCTTTAAATTGATCAAGCCTTTTATTCCCACACCGGATCTCTTTGATCCTCACAGCAACTCTGTGAAATGGGTAGTGCAGAACTTTTTTGTCCCCATTTGACACAGGCATAAACTGTGACTATGAATTGTCCAGGGCCATATATGACAGGCAGTTAGTTACTTGTAGTTATGAAGGATCTCTGAACTCCAAACCCAACATTCTTTCTACTATGCCCCAGAAGCCTCTCCAACGATTTCTAGTGAGTTGAGGGCCCTGAAATCTGCCATTTGCAATTCAAACCCACCAAATCTCAGTATTATTTGGTGACTTGAGATGCCTAGATTTATAGCAGGACTTGTTTCCACTAACGTCATTTGGGACTCCAAAATCCACACTATATAAAAGGGGGTATGAGGACCCTGCCAGTTTGTCCTGAAGAGGGGACTGCCCACCTTGAGACATGTGACAGACTGCCCTTATGTCCAATGAAAAGGCCTAATAGTACCAGGAACACTCACAAACACAGTAAAAAAAAAATGTTGAACATTTCAATACCCTTGCCCCAAAGGATCATAATTTTTCCATCTTCAGAGGATTCCAAGTGCTTTGTGATTATTCAGCCTCACACCATCCCAAGATGGCAAAGGCTGTGCTTCCCACTTTTCAGTTAGAGAAACTGAGGCACTCAGAAATATGAGTTGACTTACCAGAAACCAAACTGAGATCTTGCTCCCAGGTCCTTCCCCTGACCCATGATGGTAGCTCACTTATAGGTAAAAAGGAGAGGGTCCCCTAGCAAATAAGTAAGCCATTTCAGAGTTCTTCGACTTGGCCTTGCCTTAATCTCTCACACAAGTCTGTGATAGGTGAAGGGGGAGTTGTGAAATTCTCTCCTTTCTAGGCACCTCTGGGAATGAGAGCTTGTCCCTCAAAACTCTTAAGTAAGACAAGAGGCAAACAAGCTCCATGGCCAAAAAACACTCACCAAGTTCATTCACGTGCATGCCCAGCACACATCCTTTAGGAGACAAAAATGTTGGCTCCATGTACTGAAAATGGGAAGGTTAACTTAGACACCTCTAATATTCCTCCACAGCCTGGAGAAATCTGGTCTTTCTGGAGTGGTCTCTGTTACAATTAGGAGTTTTTGAAGAGGTGTTGCTAAATTTTCTGATTGGGACTGCTATCTGTTTTTGAAGAAGAATGGTGGAGCCCTCCCTAGAAGTGCTGAGTTTTCTAGTGGGACCTGGAATGTGGGTCAGGGCTTGACCCATTTTGAAGAATTGGGAATCTCCTCAGGGACCCTACCACAGCCCTCACCCCCATGTCATTGGGGTTATTTCTGGGCTCCTGGGGACGAGCTGAACAGATCCTTTAGTGTTCAGGGACACTGAGTGGTTCTAATAAGAAGTGAAACAACCCCAATGGGAAAACCCAGCCTTCAGCAGGATCTCCTCATGACAACAATTCATTTCTTTGACTGCTTTACAGTAGACAAAATCCTTTCCTCACAACCCTGTGATACTTAATATGGTTTTATCATCCCCATTTGATAACTGAGGAAACTGAGGCTCAGGGAAATTAGGTGCCAAGCATCACACAAGTTTGTGTCGGAACACAGCTCCCCTTGTCCGTGTGGCTTGGGTACTCCGCAACCAAAGTAACTGGTACAAAAAGATTTCTGTGCTCCATGTGGAGATCAGGGAAACAGTCACTCGCAGACTATCCACCAGCCCACTTCCCTACCTCAATCTTCCTTCATCAGGAAAGCAGTCTGTAAATAAGTAAACCTTCTTTTCTTGACTGTTGAATGAAAAAAATAAAAATTTAAAAAAATTCAGTCTGGAACAGAACTTGAATCATGGAGTTGTACAGACTGGAGTTCAAGTTGGGGCTGTGATACTTACTAGCTGTGTGACCCTGTGAAAATCATTTCACCTCTTTGTGCCTCAGTTTCCCCATTTGTCAAATGAGGATAATAATCCCTGCACTACCCACTTTACCAGATTGTTTCAAGGAAAGAAAGTGCTCTAGAAATGTGAGGATCTTTGCTCTTTTGTCTCCTCTAACACCACCACACACACACACACACACACACACACACACACACACACACACACACACACACACACACACACACACCCAAACCCAAGAACTTTCCTGGTGTCATCAGACACTCCTCCAAGTTCAAGTCACCCTGGCTCTCCAGCTGAGGCACTGTTGCTGTTTTACTGGCAACAATCAATGGTTTGGAGCTGCCAGGCACGTCTCCTTCCAAGTATTTTTTTTTTAAATCCTTTAGCCTTGCTGATACCCAGTTAAGGGAGCTGGGCTTTGTCATTAGACACAGGCTGAGGCTGCAGTATGAGGAGGCACCGTGCCAACCCAAGACGCAACTTAGATTAACTGTGTTCTGCACACCCTGACAGTATGCAGCTCTCTTGTCAGGCAGAGAGAGTTCCAAGCTGAGTGAATAGCATTGACTAGCTGAAGCCCCCTTGGGCTGCCAAGAACTAAATAGCATGCCCCCTGCTGAAGGAGAATAGAGATCAGCCAACTACCCTGGATGGTGGACAGCTGACCCCACCCCTCTCTTTGGAGAAAGAGATAGTAAAACAGGGAAAATAGAGTTACAAGAATAGCTCCCAAGTTTACAAAGCACTTTCCCTCACAACAACCACAAAAGGTAGGTGATATATTATTACTAGTAATAGTAGTATTGTTGTTATTATTACCATTATCCCAAATTTTAATAATTGGGAAGCTAAGACTTAGGTAAGTATAATGACTTATCTGAGGCCACGAAGCTTCAGCTTCCTAAGTATCCAAGTTGGGATTTACACTCAGGTCTGCTAACTCCAAGACATCATTCTTTCCACTACATTGTTCTGCCTCTTAAGAGTTCAATATGGAGATTGGATGAGTTAAGCAGCCCCAGATGGGCCCCGGACCGTATCTCATTTCTCTGCTTCCCATAGTGGTTTCATTTACAGTTAGGGGCTCATTAAATGCTATTTGCTGCTCTTTCTGTTGAAATACTGCACCACATCAGACTAATCAAAGGATTTAGAATTCAGAGCGATCTTCTCATTTTACAGAACAGTAAACTGAGGACTAGAGAGAGAAATTGAATTATCCAAGATCACACAGCTGGTAAAGATAATGGGAGAGGAATTCAAACCCAGGACTTCTAATCTCAAATCCAGTGCTGTTTTCTACAGCACTGTGGGTCAGTCCCTGGTTCTCAGTACCAGCAGCAAAGTATCCCTAGGAATTCTGGAGTCTCATCATCCGATATGAAAGCTTGAAAAAAGTACCTCGTTCCTTAGGGCTTTGGTTTTTCCCTCTAGGAGGATTTATCTGACTGAGGCTTGGGAGTGCTTGAGGATTGATGGATTTAAGTGCTAGTCACTCCATTTGCAGATCTCAAAGCGTGGCATACCTGCTAAACAAAAAGTCAAGTCTGCCCACGGCTGAACATGTCTTATGTTAACGAATATGTGTATTATATATATATGTGTATGTATATACATATGTATGTATCTAATGTAACTTTAACTATGATGTAAGACAGCGAAGCAGGCCCTCGTTGCTCCTTCTTGGGATCCAAGAGCTGAGGCCTCAGAAACCGCCCAGGCCCACCTTCTTGAGATAGTCAACTGGTGCAGTGGATAGAACACTTTTTTGGCCCGGAGTCAGGAAGACCTGAATTCAAATCTGGCCTCAGACAGCTTACTAGCTGTATGACCCTGGGCAAGTCATTTAACCTCTCTGCCTCCGTTTTCTCTATGGTAAAATGGGGATAATAACAGCACCTATTCCCAGGGTTGTTCTGAGGATCAAATGAATTGATATTTCTTTTAAAAAATGTGTAGCACAACGCCTGGCACACAGTGGATGCTATATGAATGCCTTCCCTTCTTTATTATAGAGGCAGCTGAGACTCAGAGAAGGGAAGCAGACTTGCCCAAGACCACACAGCCAGTAAAAGAGCAGAGCCAACAAGAATAAAGCCTTTTCTGGTCTTTCTCTATTGAGTAATAAAGAACCAGGATTCAAACCCAGTGTACTACAGCACACCATGGGGAGTTTCGTGCCTTCTCTTAAGTGATCACACATTCCTAAGTGAACTTTGTGACCCAGGTAATGGCTCAGTGGCAATATTTGCACACTAGGGGCCCTGTGAAGCAAGAACGGCTGAACCAGATGGCTTGGGAGCTCTGGTTAGCCACATTCCAGAGAGCAGTGGCCTTCTAGGCTGTCGTAGCCCCTGTGGGCTAAGAAGATCTCAAAAAGCAAACACTATAAGATGAGCTAGAGGCTCTCTTGTCCCAGGCTGGCCGTGGGACATGGGAAGGAGACACTGTGCCTGGTTCTGGGTGGTTCGCACAGCTCGGCCATTCCTTCTCTGGCACCGTTTTCCTAACAACACGACCCAAGGCAGGTGGAGTGGCCAGAGAACTGAATGTTTCTGCTTGAGGACACTTAGCCCTCATTCAGGGAAACTCAGTGCAGCCATTCTGCACGTCTCCAGTCTTGGGAATTAAAGCGAACGACTACTGGCGTTTCTTAAGCCCTTTTAATCATTGAGAAGGTTTACTTTGCTCCCCACAGCCTGTGAGGTAAGGAAGGCAGGCATTCCCATGCCCATTTTATAAATGGAAGGTCAGAGAAGCTGTGATTTGCCCACAGTGATGTCAGTCCTGGGATATAGACCCCAGTGTCTTGACATCAAATATTGTGTTCCTTCTATGACCTCCATGGAATAACCATTCCTCCTTCCCTTCATCCTGGGAAGGTCCCAGACCAAACTGACTTACGCAAGGTTACCCTGGCGGTAAGTCCCCATGTCAGAACATAAACCTTTATGGGTTCAGGGCTAAGTAAACCACGTATAGATGTGTCTGGCTAATGCATTTATTTAGCACTTTTTTTAGGGGCTTTCAATGGAATCCTCCAAGCCAGCATTCCTCCTCTGAGCCATGTGATGCAACCCTACATTCAGACATGGGCAAATCAGTTCCCTTTTCTGGACCTAGGTGTCCTCTAAAATCAGAGGTTAAATCAAATAGTTTCTAAATTCCACCCCTCTAAAGTGGAGTGGGTGGCATTTATAACACCTCCTTTGTAAGGAAAACACTTTGTAAACTATAAATCACTGTATAAAAGTGATTAGTATTTTATTAGCTCTTCCAGCCAACCCACGAGCAGATAATATTATCTCCATTTCACAAATGGAGCAACTTTTGTCTCTCCGACCCATTGTTTTTCTCTTTTGAAGCATGTGTAGCTCTTTAAGGTTTGCAAAACACACGTATCATGCCATTTGATCCTCACAACAGCCATGTGAGGAAGGGGCTATTATTACCATCTCTATTTTGCAGACAAAGAAACTGAGGCTGAGAAAGGTCAACTGAGTTGGTCAGGGTCACATAGCTAGGAAGTATCTGAGACAGGATTTGAACTGGAGTTTTCCTGTCTCCCAACTCCTCCAATCTATCCACTGTGCCAGCTAAATGCCTGTGTTTAATGCTTCTTGTATTCAGCCTTGCATTGTTACAGAGGCTGTGGGGATTCATGAAGAGAATGATAGGATTGGGGTCATGAAGACCAGGGTTCAAGTCTAGCAATACCACTAGCTTTTCAACCACAGGCAAGTCATTCATCTTTCTGAGACTTAATTTCCCAGTCTACAAAGTGGAAAGGGTTATACCTGTAATATCTGCTATTCACAAGGTTGTTGTGAGTCTTAAATAATTGATGGAAAGCAACTTTGAAGTATCATATCAGTATCAGTTATTGGACTGGTCATATATACACCCACACATATACACATACACATGCATGGATGTGTATTGGAGGGGAGAAAAGGGATGTGGGGGTATATATTTGTACATATACATCCCTTTTCTCTCTTCCATGTCTGTGTGCATACATGTATGTGTCGATAAATAAGAGCAATTACTGTATATATGTGTATTGTGTATTTATGGGTATACACACACACACCCCTTTTCTTCCTTCCAATTAATAATTGGAGGTCAGAGCCCAGGTCTCATACCTCTTCACATCTCCAGCATTTAGCATAATGCCTTTGCACCTTAGATCATAGATTTAGAGTAGGCCATGAAGGCCAATCCCTTCATTTTGTAGATAAAGAAACTGAGACCCAAAGAGGTTAAATTACTTGTCCAAGGAAAGAAATTAGGTATTCACTGAACGCTTGGTTTTGCTCATGAAGATACATTCTAGTCCAATTAGCTTGAATAGAGGGTCATTCTCCTAAAACAATTCTATCTGAAGCCCCTTAAAAACGTTCAGGCGATAGCTGAGACATAAATGTATTGAACCCTTTCTGATTCTGGAATTGTTCTTTTGTAGCCCATGCAATATTTCAGGGAGGGGAGGGTGGACCAGCCCCTCATGCTCGAGCTTCCTAAGCACTGCCCACTGCCTTGCTTCATTCTTAGTGTCTCTTTTCTTCTCTCTTTCTCTCTTGCCACCTCCACCCCCACCCTGGGCATCCGACCACTTCTTTGTACCTGCAATTCCAGACCCTATGTAGACCTGGTGAACATGCTGCTGACCTGTGGGGAAGAGGTGAAGGAGGCCATCAGCCGAAGCGTGCAGGCTCAGTGTGAACAGAACTGGGGGAGCCTTTGTTCCATCTTGAGCTTCTGCACCTCAGCTGCTCAGGGGGAGCCAGCAGCCACTCCTGATAGACAGCTGCAGACCGAGGGATCCAGGGCCATCCGGGCTCATCCGGGGGATCTAGGCTACCACCTCCCAGAATCAAGTGGGAGGGATGTTTCTAGAGGTGTCAAGGGGGAAAAAGGTAGCAAGACTCACCCAAATGCCCACCTCCATGGCAAAGCTGGGGGCCATGGAGCCCAGGGATCCCAGGGAAGCAATGAGTGGGAGGAGGAACGGGCTGAGTATTCAGATATCCGAAGGTGAAAAGACACACAGGTGGTCATGAAATCTTTCCTCCATACTGTCCATTTTCTTATCTATGGACATTCCAAAACATTTACCATTAAAGAGGGGGGGATGTCACATGCAGGGTATTAAGGGAATCGTGGACTTCATCACAGGTATATAAAGAAGTTGGAAGGGCAGCTGAGATGGAGAGCCCGAGAGCAGCCAGCTCTTGGCCGTGCCTGGTGAATTCAGCACTTACACATATTCAAGTGAGCGCTCCTAGCGTTGTCCTCATTTTAACTTTTGTCTTCTTTTGAGCAATAGGGCCAAATGGGCGTCAGTCTGATGGTTCGCTCTGTTGTGGGGATGGGGAAGGGGAGTGTGAATTGGGGAGGGGGGAGGGTCATGGCTGGGCATTTCCACCTGGGCCCAGCCATCTCACCAACACTAGGCTCAGCTTTGTGGCTTTTGGTGCTGGCTTCCCAAAGAGTGGTTGGGTTCCCTAGATCCAGCTGTGAATGTCAAGTCATCACTGGGGATTCGGGGAAGAAGAAGGGCTGAGAGGAAGAGTCAGCCGTGATACTTGGTGCCAAGCTGACATTCGGTTTCTTGCCCAGGTCCTCAAATGCAGAGAACTCTGGGTTTTGTTCTGAGCCATTGTTCCCTGTATGGGTGAAACTGCCTGATCAAGTGGCCCCCATGTGTATCTTAACCACTGCTTTACTTCACAATTTGGCTTTTTATTTATCCAATGACATCTACTTGTCTGTTGTCTAAATAAATGGCTTTTAAACAAGGCTACTGGGTCATTAAAACCATGGGATCATAGGAGTCAGCTGGAAAAGACCTTAGAAATCATCTGTTTCTGTCATCTAAATAAATGATGTTTAGACAAGACAGCTAGGTCATTAAAAAGCATAGGTTGTGGAACTAGGAGGGACCTTTAAAAGGATCTAGTCCAATCATTTCATTTTATGGAGCAGGAAACTAAGACCCAGGAAAGTTAAGTAAATTGCTCAAGGTCATACAAGAAGTCAGTTACTGAGCTGCGATTCTAGCCTATGTCTTCTGACTCCAAATCTAGGGCTCTGTCCACCACCATTACTGCCTGTTAGTTTTTCTTTCTTTTTCCCCCCAGTCTGACCAACATTTATTTAGGCACCTACTACAATCCGAAGCACTGTGCTATGACCCAATGTATATGATGCAAACATACACTGTTTTGTTTTCATTTTTCAAAAGTGATCTTTAAACCATTGGTAGAATTCAGGCAAAAGCCCTGTAAATGAATGTATAACTAGTGTAGACTGTTAGCCCCTTAGGAAAGGGCCTTCCAATTGAGGAAAGAAGCGCTCTCGAGTGTACGCGCACTTACATGGCATCTGGGAGAGCCTCTCTAATTGTGTTTCTCCCTGTTATAAGATTGCTAAGTTCCCTGGAGCTGTGTCTAAAACTGGGGTCTATGCTGCCAAAATCCAAGAAGAGGGAAAACAAAAGGTGTGTTCTTGGCTAGCCTAGATGGGGGAGAGCTTACTTTTGGGGGAAGACTGTCTGTTTTGAGGAGAGACTGATATTAAATTTCCAAGGAAGGGGAGTCGAAGGTTTGCAGTAAGGAAGCAAGTCAACATGAAGAGTGAAAGGAAACAGTAGGCTTAAGCCCACTGTCACTATTAATGGATTTATGATTCAAACTCCTCTCTTCCTAGCTCTTTGCCCTCTAGACTATCAGATAAAAATTAATCCTTTCTTGCCTCTACTGCATATTACCCCAGGCTACTACAGGAGCTCAGGGGGCTCCTGGTGTAGCTTCTTTCTTCCCCTAGGAAGAGAGTCCAAAATATTTCTGTCCAAGATGTACACATCAGCACATTGGGTCTCCCTTAGAAGAATCTTCAGGATAGGGCAGAAAAGGAGAAGCCAAAGCTCAGGTTCCTTCTGCATCTAAGTGTCTCCACTGCCAAAGGCTAGTCTTAAGGGTCCCAACACCCTCTACCCCTAGCTCAATCTTTGTCATCTCACCCCTTGCATGGTCCACAGCTCCACTGGACTGGAAGGAAGCTTCACCAAGACTAGCTTTTGCCTAATAAAACCACATTCTGCTGCCAGGAAAACCAAGGACTGATTACTGAGCTCCTCGTGCCACTGCCTTAATTGGGGAGGAATAAGCCCATCTGGGGCTCCCCCATTATTTTGCAGGCCACCTGAGCAGAATGATTTTGATTGCCAGAGATGTAGCCATGACTCTTGCATTGATCAGCTGGCTCCCAGTTTCCTGGTGTTGGGCTTGTCTGCGGCATGACTTTTTCTGTTTCCTCAGTGTAAAAACATTGTATTCATTCATCTACTGGTGTCTCATGTCATTGCTGCAATTGTAAATACTTAATCTCTGTATTTATTATTTTCCTGTCTTCATTTCAGATATAAATGGCTTACTCTGGAAATTTAATCACATGCCTTGACCTGTGTTGTGTGTGTGTGTGTGTGTGTGTGTGTGTGTGTGTGTGTGTGAGAGAGAGAGAGAGAGAGAGAGAGAGAGAGAGAGAGAGAGAGAGAGAGAGAGAGAGAGAGAGAGAGAGAGAGAGACGCCACTGGTTTGTTTCTCTTATCAAAAGTCAGATAAAGTGAATTCCTTGCTGGCCTACAACATTACTGGGAGCAGAACATACTGCTTTATTAATAAGTTTTTCTTTCCCCTCCCCATTGAATACAGAATGTTGCCTGCTAATGTACTCTGGAAATTTGACAACTAGAAATTTAAGGAAAGTAGAAGACTCTCCATGTGGTCCTATCATACTCCTTTAACAAATATTTTGAATTAAATCCAGGAAAGTATTTCTCTAGTCCCTTCTATTCCTGAGGACTTGTGCTAGGCTCAGGAATGAATACAGCACAAACTTTCTTATGAACCTTCCTTGGGGAAGGCTGTTGGATCTCCAAATAAAGATGAGATGTTTACTTTAAGCTCTGCATCTCAAGGAGAGGATCTGAACACCTCTCCTCGGTATGAATAGCTCTCTTATTCTGGAATGAGATGCCTGAGTACAGGGAAATGCTGACACCCAAAGCTAAGTCAATAGAAAACACCAGCCCACATCACTGTCGTACTTTGACAACAGAAAATAAAAGAGAGAGGGGAGGGAAAAAGAACGTTCAAAATCCAACCAAACAGTAACTTTCTGGTAGAGAATAATGCTTATTTGGACCATTCCCTTAAGAGAAACAACCCAGTTTGATATGGGACCTGACACTAAGTAGGCTGGGTAAGTTGTGATATGGATGTTTGTTGTGGACTGAGGTCTTGAGATCTGTACGTTTTCCCATTGCATTTTTTTCTTTCAACACTAATAAACATTTTGAATAGATAATTTCTCTTGCGGTTCAATTCTGTAATCACTGTTTGAGCCCCCCCACCTGTGCAAAAACCACATTTGGTTAAATTAGAGATGCAGAGAAAAAAGATTTAAGACCCTGCTCTCTAAGCGCTAATGATCTTCCCAAGGGTAGACATACAATGAGCGTGAGGTATGAGCCTCTTAAGTCTCCTAGACAATTATACAAAGAAGGACCTTTGTCACCAAACATTTATTAAACTCCTTCTGCATGCCAGGAAACCATCTGGTCCAGGGATTCTTGGGGTCCATTAAACTGAAATATATACATATCTAGATATACATATACACACATACAGATATATACACATGTAAATACAAATATATGCATATACCTCAATGACTCTATTTGATTATAATAGGTTTCCTTATTAATCCTGTGTAGTTTACTGAATGCATTTAAGACCATTATTCTGAGGACGGGTACATAGATCTCTAGGCTTCCAAGGCATCCATGACACAAAAAAAGTGAAAGAACTACTGCTTCTAGTTTAGCGCCATTCTATTACAGGTAGAAAAACTAAAGACCAGAGAGTTGAGACAATTTGCCCATGATCCCTTGGCAAAGTCAGCATTTGTACTGAGGTCTTTTAACCTCAAGGCAGAGAGGTGGCTCAGTGGATAGAGCTTCAGGCCCTGGGGACAGGAGGACCTGCATTCAAATCTGGCCTCAGATACTTATGAGCTGTGTGACCCTGGGCAAGTCCCTTAACCCTGTTTGCCTCAGTTTCCTCATCTGTAAAAATGAGCTGGAGAAGTAAATGGCAAACCACCCCAGTATCTTTGCCAAGAAAACCCCAAATGGAGTCAAAAACAACAGCAACTTCTAACCTCAGATGCAATGTGCTTTTTAATACACTACACTAAAATACCTCTGAGGCTTTCATTTTTCAATGAAGAAAAATGACCAGGTGAATTTTAATTCCTTCTCTGGTGTCACTTAAGGGACCTCATTTCTCCCTGCCTCTCCCAAGAAGTTACCAGCCACATGGCCTCTCAGTGTAGACAAGACAACAATTCCCTCCGTCTCCATGTGATTCACCTTGACAAAGAAGAGGATGAAACCTCAGCTGCTATGTGCCCCTCCGATTGCTATTCCCATTCATTCTGAGCTAATCAGGGCCCGAGCAATGGCCAAGTGGGGTTTGACCTGGGACCTGCTGTTGGCCAAGCAATGAGAGCCAGAATGAGCTCTGCAGCATAATATCAGTCATGACTTGTACTAGAAGTGGCACAGAAAATACCGTCAAAAACACAGTTTCATAGAAGGAAGCGGGCTGTTCATATAGACAGAGGGATAACAAAAGGGCTGCACCGGTGTCCACAAGACATTAAAAGAACTAAAATAAGGCCTTCAGTACACCAGGCGGGTCCTCTATGGAGAGCTTGTGGAGACTCACATTAGAGTTACCAAGGGTAAGAAGAGAGGTAGGAGTTTTAATTGGCCCTGGTGGATGGTGTACCCATACTTTTGATATCACGGTTGTGAGCTCTTAAGTATCCACTCTATGCAAGGCCCTATGCCATGTGCAAGCGATGCGTGAGCATGAGATCAGACATAAGTCATTCCCTCGAGGAGCTTTCTGGCTCTGCCCCCCCAGCAGTCCGTGTAGCTTTGCGGCTTGTTGTTCAGTCATTTTCAGTCGTGTCCAATTTTTTGTGACCCCCTCTGGGGTTTTCTTGGCAAAGATACCGGAGTGGCTTACCATTTCCTTCGCCAGTCATTTTGCAGATGAGGAAACCGAGATAAACAAAGTTAAGTGACTTGCCCAGAGTCACACAGCTAGTAAGTGTCTGAGGCCAGATTTGAACTCAGGAAGATGAGTCTTCCAGAGTCCAGGCCCAACACTCTATCTACTGTACCACCTACCTGCTCCGTAGCTTTGCATAGAGCCAGTTTATTTGTGAAGAAGAAACAGGGGGCAGCTAGGTGCCACAGTAGGTAAAGCACCACTCCTGGAATCAGGAGGACCTGAGTTCAAATCCAGCCTCAGACACATAACACTTACTAGATGTGTGACCCTGGGCAAGTCACTTAATCTCATTGCCTAGCAAAAACAGAAAAGAAGAAACTAAAATATTCCATATCCCACCCTCTATCCACACCCCAGTGGGCCCTTACCAAACTAACTACTCTTCCCCTTGCACATTCCTAACCCTATTAAAGAGAGTTCATCTCATTGATTCTTCAGAGTCACTTTAAATTAAAAATAAACTTGATCAGTATTATTCCTGTTTTAGACAGGGCTTAGAGGAAGAATAATTACACTCTTGTATTTATAGCACCATGTGGCAGAGGAGCTCAGCTTTGGGAGAAAAGGGAAAATTGATGCTCTCACCTTGCATCTCAGCAGAGACCTAAACTCTGGCTCACATCACAAGGATTGAGACCCTCAGGGCTGCCATCCACTTTTCTTGCCTTCCAAGTACTACACACACACTCACACACCATAGTGTTTAGAGCTGTGAAGCACCTTAGATATCCTCTAGCTCATTCCCAACCCCCCACTATAAAGATGAGGAAACTGAGCTCCAGAGGAATGAACTGACTGTCCAAGGCTACATATATAATAAGTAGCAAAATCTTTCTGAGAACAGTTTAGGAGAGATTGGTTTATCTGTTGAAAATTGACTCACGTATTTTCTATCCAATAGAGCCTATCTAATCAACATTCCACGGAAACTGAGTTGTTAAGCTGACTTTCCAAGCAATGAGGCAAGACAGTGGATAGAGTTCTGGGCCTGGAGTCAGAATGATCTGAGTTCAAATGTGGCCTCAGATATTTTCTAGCTATGTGATCCTTGGAAAGTCACTTAACTTCTCTCTGCCTCAGTTTCCTCTGCTGTAAATAATTAGGCCTACTTTCCAGGGTTGTTGCAAGGATCAAATGAGATGCTATTTGTAAAGGGCTTAGCACAGTGCCAGGTACACAATAGGCACTTATTCCCTTCTCCCATCCCCCCAAGCCTTCTTCTATGGAATCTAAAAACAGGAACTCCCCTATGACCTTAACTTTGGAGGACATCTCTTGAGATCCTCTTGAGGTCTGAATCTATAAATCTGACCATGTCACTCACATGCTAAAAACTTCACAGGCTCCCTATTCTTTTGGGATAAAATACAAATCCCTTAGCTTGCTGAAGCCAGTCTGTACATAACTTCCCTATCAGAGCTTATTTCACGTTGTTCCCCTTCACATGCTCTCTGTTCTAGCCAAATGTACCTACTTGGTGCTCCCCAGACTTGGCACTACAACTCTTATGCACAGTGTCCCCCGTGCCTGAACGCACACCCTTGTTTCAGCCTCTTAGAATTTCTAGCTTCCTTCAGGGTTTCAGCTCACTCAGCATGTCCTAGAAGAAGTCTTTCCTAATCATCCTGCATCTTAGTACTTTCTCCTTCCTCAGATTCTCATGTATGTAACTCTCTCAACATGAATTGTATCTCCTGAGTAGAAAGTAAGTTCCTTCACAGAAGACAGGAACTGGTTTTCTTTTTTTCTCTGTATCCCCAGCACAAGGCATTACACATAGTAGGTGTTCCATAAATTCTTGTTGATTGACTGATCCAGTACTTGTGTGCACATAGTAAGTGCTTTAAAAATGTGATTGAACTAAATTGGAATTGGAGCTATATCCTTTCAGCCAGGGCTTTAGGAAAACAATTAAGAAAGTATTTCACTTTAAGATTGAGCATGGAATTACTTCCAAACAGGTGATTTTTAATCAATCCATCAGCATGTATTAAGAACCGTCTACTGCCAGGTGCTGTGCTAAGCACTGAGGATCCAAAAGAAAAAAAAGACAAAAAACAGTCCCTGCTTTCAGTCTTACAGTCTAATGGGAAAGACAACATGCAGTTAGATACATGCAAAGCAAGCTATCGACCAGATAAGCAGAAAGTAACAAACTGAAGGAAGGCACTGGAATCAAAAGGGGCTGGGGAAGGCTTTCTGCACAAGATGGAATTCTAGTCAGGACTTAAAGGAAGCCAGAGAGCTCAGTAGTCAGAGCAAAGAATGGAGAAGTTCCAGGCTTGGAGAACAGCCAAAAAGAA